CCCGCTCATAGGGAGTGCGTACTGTTGATCATAGTTCCTGGGCTCCCTGTGGTTTCAACACACTGTATGTTCGGTCAGTTGCAAAATATATCAATAGAGGGCGATGTGTTTCGAATCCCTGTTATCCTGCCTGTTATTCACCTCCTTACAGTATTTACGCTACACATCGTGTTTTAAAAGTGGTTTAGCCCATCTATATTTAGATCAAATAGGTCATTCAAAATGGTGGCGTTCAGCAAATGTTGCACAACTTTCGGCAAGCTCAGCAAAACGATCAAAACAGACCGTACAAATGAAGAATTCACGTGTACGTCACCTCAGTACAGACAGCGATACCGTTGTTGGAGGCAAGGGTTCGAAAAAAGAAAACCATATCGCCGAAAATTATCAATAGTAAGTACTTAATTTGTGCACATTCCGTTGAAGGACTGTGATTTGTGGAACCTTGAGATCCCAATGATCGTCCGTGATCTTATCTTTTTTTATGACTGCATAAACTTATTGTCAATTTTGTAATTTAGCAACATCAGTTATTACAGACAAGATGGTACGAAAACAAAGCGCAGGAAAGCATTGGATTACCAATGGACGGACAGTCAGGAACGATCATAATAGTATCCGCTATAAAAGAGATTATGCAGCTTGTGAAGAGGTGTCTAAATGTATCACCAGGAGGAACGGTAATATAGGGCGAGAAGAAGAAGAAGAAATCGAGTCTGAGTTCCACAATTATTTAGATGACGGAATGTTACAGTTTACAAGTGAGTTGAACAAGTACCCAATGTTAGAACTTGGGCAATACTTCACCTTTACCGGCAACTTATGTCGTAATAAAAACGATTTCACACAGCAATTATCTCTTACTAGATTATTTGCAAAAAAAAAAACAAAAACAAAAAAAAAACATGCTAATGCTGACCACAACATTTAAGGACTGGAAACTCTTAGTTTGATTCCAAACCAGCTATGAATGCTGACGAAAAATTATGTTTTGTCATCTAATTGTTGTCACTTTTGTGAGACATGGTGTTGTGCACTGTGCTTGTTGATTTGCTGCTTGGGTTCAACTGTCATTGAAATTTGTCAATATTTATAAAAATAAAGAGAATGCAATTGTTATAAAGAACATATATAAAGAAAGGCATGGTTAATCAATTAGTTGTTATATATAATCTGTTTTCTCTTGTAGAATGTTTTCGAGATGATCCAGGTGTGAAATATAGTTTAAATAAAAGAAAGAGATGGGAACTCCCTGAAATGCTAAGACAGAGTGTTTTAGATCGAGAACTACATAAAGACCTAGAATTTCGAGTTATCATGGAAGAAAAGCATGATGGATATGGACTGTTCTCATCAAAAGGAGGCAGTAGGGTAAATATCTGCTATGTGTATCTATAATTGTGATTGGATTAAATAGGAAGCTGTTAATCCCGGGATGGAATCATGAGATAACATTGTTTGTATGTTTTTTTACACTATAGTCTGTTTTCCATTGTAATTTAATCACGTTAGATGGATTGAATTAAGTGAATGTTCTTTCTTGTCCAATGCAGCCTAATTGTATTAAAGTGTGCGATGGCAAGTCTGATAATCCTGTAAAGAAACCAAAGAAACACAAATATGCTCAAGCTAGAGACTTCTTGGCAAAGCCTAAGCCTCCAAGACGACAACGCCAACAACGTGAGGAGTTTGATAATACTGAATTGGAAGATGAAATTACTCTGAAATACATCATCAATCACCCAGTGCCACCCAATCAGCATCCAGTATGCAGAGAAACATCTAAATCATTTGGATGGAAGAAAGGTTTGTCAGTTATTGCTTTTTGAGAAAAAGATTTTATTACAAACAACAACTCTAATGTGCAGAAATTTTATTTTCTACACAGGATTGTTTTTTACTTATTTTCAAAATTGATGCACTTTCAATAACCTGACCTTGCTTGAGTTTGCATGCCCAACTAGAACTTGACTATTTTAAGGAGTTCTTCCTGTGTCTAGTTGGACATGCTGCTGGACCAAAATGGCAATTTGTACAATAGTTCCCAATAACAGTATGGGGCTGCATCACAGCAGCATTGTGTTGACAATAATTTGTTATAAGATTAATTTTTACAAATATTATAAAATAAAAAGTTATTCCAACATACCTACTCTATTTCTTCTTACATTACCAAAAACACACTTATTTCTTATCTATTTAATTGAGCTTATACCAACATTTATTATCATCTGTGACCATAACGACAAAAACACCATATGTACAATTAAAGCAGAACAGTAGCTGTGTTATGTTGTTTGATATTGGTCCTAAGTGGCATTACATGTACCTCTATATTGTTTGTTTACTGTAAAATGACTAATTTTCACTGGATTTACCATTTCAGGCATATTCACTGGGTTTAAATTTCACGGTTTTATCATCTAGATAATGTGTTCTATGCTAAAAATTACATATTCACTGGGTTTTAATTTAGCGCATTTTCCAGTGAGCCAAATAAGCAAAATTAAAACCCAGTGAATAATTAATCCTTTTACAGTAAATAAAATTTGAATGTGTGCTACATGGTGACTGTTACAATTTGAAACATCCCCAGCTGCAAGTCTCCACAGATAGCCAGAATAAAAGTGATGTGTCAGGAGAGTAGAACCACAGATAGTAGGTAAACAATGGTAGTAATGGAGTATAATTTGTATGTTCCTGTTTTTACTTTTACAGACTTTGCTTATTGTCACAAATCAGCATGCAAATCAAAGAGCGAAAAAGTTCACAACTATATGTATTGGCATGGACATAGCATTAATGAATTGAAGACCATGCGTAAGGAGCACATTGATGACCACATAGATTATGACGTTTATATAGATACTAAAAATTCCTGCCAGAAACCAGACATGCCGAGCATCAGCAGTATTATGCATAATGCCCTACAAAGAGATGAACTTGTGAATAACCCTGCAATTACATTACAGCATAGAAAACTGATTGAACATTTACCAAACAATACTAATATGGCAACATCTACTCCCATAAAAATGCACCACAAAGGATCTACTGTATTTTTTGAAGAGAGAGAAGTTGAAACAAATATCCAAGAAAGTAAAGATGAAGTTCAAGATCTAAGCATTATTGTGCCACCAAAACAAAGTGATGCTGCCATTAACATTGATAAACCTAGTATTGTTCTAAAGGCTCACTCAGAAAGTCTCAACCTGAAAGAAGTAATTAATGGATTTGGTGATAGTTACTTAGAAGGATTCTCAGTTCCTCATAAATTCAGCGTTGATATCACTTCATCTGTTATTGCTTCTATGTATGACAGAGGGGAGACTAAGTTGGCAAAACAGTTACAGGATTTTGGAGATCCATTATATACAGTGTTTGATGAAACAGGAATGAGAGATGATGACGATGACATCAAGAGAATAAGGTACATATAAAAATGTTTTTATTGTTGTTAATAATATCATTTACTTTGTGTTTTAAAAAAATATAATTTTATATTCTAATTATTCTTGTATTATGTTTTTGTTTATACAGGGTTTCTTTATTTGGTTGTAAACATTCTTTCCACGATCATTTACAAACTATGTTGGATAGTTATTACAAGGTCAATCATGTGTATACTGTTGCTGAAATAATTGAGATGATGTTGAATGTGATTGAGTCATCACCAGTACAAAGGTAGGATATTTTCAATTTATGTACAATTTGTAAGAAGCTATATCAAACCTAGGAATGCAAACATTTGTTGCTTTTCACAAAATAATCATAATTTTGTCAAAACCTATTGCCAAATTGTTCAAACTAGATAAAAATGTACCAAATCTTATTAAGATTGCCAGTGTATTTTTATTTGGAAAGAATATGAATTTCTCTTGTTTGTTTTTTTTAGTTAATCTTGATAAATTTAGTTCAATAAATGAACTGACTGTCATTTTGTCATGTCTTACAGTATCATTGTGAATTATGGCCCAGTTAAAAGAATTCCCAGTAACTTGGCTGATACAAATCTTATTAAGATTGCTAGTGTAATTTTATTTGGAAAGAATATGCATTTTACTTGGGGTTTTTTTTTTTTAAGTTAATCTTGATAAATTAATTCATTAAATGAATTGACTCATATTGTCATGTTTTACAGTATCATGGTGAATTATGGCACAGTTAGAAAAATTCCCAGTAATTTGGCTTCCAGCTGTATAACATTTGATAGGTTAAGATCAGTTGCTGGATGGCACACAGAATCATTAACTACCTACCAAGCATATCAAGATAATATAAAAGCTTCTGCTAATGAGGTGAGTTTTTGAAAAAATCAATTTTTGAATAAATTAGAAAAATTCAGCATTCTACAGTGAGAAACAAAATGTAACTGTTAGGCAATTACTTAATTCCTGCGCATACGCAGATGACGACCCTCTCGAAAGAAAGAAAGAATTGCATTTATTTACATGTACGTCTGATTTAGTGCAACAGTCTTTGCACCATTTCTTTCTGTATAAGACTCCCATATGACACATAAAAATCATGTAAAATACATTTTCTATTTACATAAAATTTAATCGTTGGTGCTCTAGGGTTCGTATTTAATCACAATGGCATATGAAATAAATGATTTTGAAATTCCTTTCAGAATGAACACCAGAATATAATCAATGTAGACATAACAACTCAACAAGAATACTGTGCTATTTGTTATGATGATATCAGTGACCATGATGGTACTTGCCTGATGAGATGCCGACATTGGTTCTGTAATACATGCTGGAAAATGCATCTTGCTTCTAGAGTCAGACAGGGGGATATGAAAATCATGTGTCCCGTAAGTATGACCCCCTGTATTAGGTGTATATCTATAACTGACAATTGAATGTGAGCTAAAATATGGTATTTTAAGATCATCAAACTTGAATCATTTGACTACATTCTGATACATCAAATATAAGCCTTCAAGTAATTCATGAGTCAAGACTGAAGTTACATGTCAATAAATTTTGTGTGAAATATTAAATGTTTAAGTTTCTCTTCTTAAAATTGTTTATGGTTTGATTTTATCAACAGGAATACAAGTGTGGTGAAGTTGTTGACAGAGTAACCTTGATGTCTTTGATGTCAGTCCACCAATACAACTCGTACATCAGACAACAGAATGAAGCTTATCTAAATAGTAATGATAAATACCAGTGGTGTCCATCTCAAACCTGTGGTAGAATAGTCAAGGTGGATTGTACATCTACAGCTGCTGTGCCTGTCAACTGTGTATGTGGCAGAGCCTGGTGCTCTAAATGTAAAGAAGAACCACACTGGCCAGCAACATGTCAACAGGCATTTGAATATTTAGAGCTGAGAAAGGATAAAGGTAAGTGGAATTCCCAGTCTTGATCTTAGAACAAATCATATACCGGTATATCAGGGACTTTTTTAAACAAGGGAACAGAGGGCGCAGCACCCTCATGCCATTGCCATGCGCCCACTTACCCTGGGGAGCAGATCCTCTGGCAACCATAAAAGGAAGCCATAGAATGGTCTATTTTAACTTAGAATTATCAAAAACTCTACACCCTGGTAGGGAGAACCCTATCTCCGCCACTTGGTGGCATCGATGAATTGCAGTGCTCCCTTTTGCAGTGCTTTTCTAGAAAAAAGTCCTGTATATTACATGTATCAATTGCTACATATGAACTGTATGTTTAATTCTATTTACACAGGTGACGATAATACATTTACTACTCGTGTCATCAATTATGTTAGAGTAAAAAAATGCCCGTTTTGTAAACTGCAAATGGAGAAGAATGGTGGCTGTCCGCAAATGAGTTGTCGCTGTGGAGAGTCCTTCTGCTGGTCATGCCTAGCTGCATGGTCGAAACACTATGGTCGTGGTGGTTGGAAGTGTCCTGTATCGTCACATGACAATTTTGAGGTATGTACATGTAATATACAAATATTCATGCATATGTATGATTTACAACCAAAAAATGAGTATCTAAAAATGAGCTAACACAATGTTTTCCATGTTCATAAAATATCTGAGTGCTTCATGGAGAGAACATATTTATGTATCATTATTGTTTATTAATTGATTTAAGAGACAATTTGGGAGCTAGTTATTCTCAAGTCCATAATGTATTTGTCCAATAGAAGCATAGAATTGAACATGAAGTAAAAATTTCATTTATTGTATACTGGAGCATTAAAATTCAATTAATTTTATCATCATTACATCTCTGTAATTTACCGAAGCACATAATATTTGCATATTACTTATACAGAAAATATGGTTTGTGTCATTATTGATTATGATTAGGGTAAAATCCACATGGATCAGCAATCAGCTTTTGTTGACCAAGAATAGATAGATTTATAAGTTACAGTGAATATTTAAATAAGAGACACACATACTAACCTTTTCACCACCAGACCTTCTAGCCCAAATTTTCCTACACTTCAATATTTCTGGAAATGAACCATAATTTTGGACCCAACGGACAAAATTTGAGTAAATTTTTTAGGTTTTACTCAAAAAATTTGGCTATATTTGTCCCAATATTCTGAAGAAAAGTGCAGACTATAAACAGTATTATTATTTTGTGAATTTGTGATGAAAAGAAGGAACTGGTGGTTAAAAAGGCTAAAGTGCAAACAATAATAACAATATTTGTATTTACATTACGATTCAATTTTACAGACTGTCTACCTTGTTGATGCTACTAATGTAAGGTTCTGTGTTGAGTTTTATAATATTTCAATTCGACATCATAAAGCCAGGAGGTATGATAAGCTGAGAAAATTTAAAGTCGCCGCACGTAGTCTTTGCTCAATTTTGGTGAGTATAGCGAGAATATTTTATAATAACTCAGATTGAAAATGCTATTGTATTTTACATATATTCGTATATGAAAGTACACTGCAAGCAAGCTGTAGTTTCACAGAATCGTTTTTATTTGGTCTTTATAATCTGAAAATGTGGTAATCATTGTTATTTTATTATCTGCACTAGAAACTGTCTTAGCAAGGTGCATGAGAAATATCATTCAAATATCATTCAAACAGTATATGGTTTCCCATATCCTTATACCTTACAATAGTCAAGTAGTCTAGTTTGTTTTATGTAATTACGTTATTACTGTTTTCTTCTTCATAGCAATCTAAGAAAACAAAAGCTTCCAGAAAACTAAGTAGGAAGGTGTACCCATCATTTGGATCTGTTTCTGATGTAAGCAGTGATACATCAGGATATAGTTCATCTTCTGATGATGAAGAGTTGGGTGACTACAAACAACTGGCTACTAAGATTTGTAAATTATATTCTGAGGTAAGAAACTGAATTGGTTTTATCATGTTTTATAATTCAATCAATAATTAATGTTGCTCACTGTTAATAGATTACCGGTAGTTTGTGAACTTGGGAAATGTGTTGGTGTTAACCAACAAACCAGAAATACAGACATCCGTCATCCAGTCATTGTGTGCGAGTATTAAACTAGTGAGAGTCATGTGACAGCTGTCATAGCAGTATAAGTTTATGTAAATTTTAACTAAATTTCACAACACTGTAACATGTTGCATAGTAGTCTTCATACATATCATTTATAAACAGATGATGCAGTGTAACCTGTATCTAAACTTGATGAGTACTAGAGTCTAATAATCAATTCAAATACAATTATGAATAAAAGACATGTATATTACAAAGTCGTACTCGCTGTATATTGCAAAACTCTTGGCATCTTCATCTAAGTCATTTAGACATGTGGTTATATAGCAGAAAGATATTAATTGGATGTATTATTTTTTTACAGATGGTCTACTTAGCAGAGCACATTGCTGTTCTATGTGGTAATTGCTCTAATAGGATGAGAAGTAGCTCTGTATTACTGATGATGTGGGAAGTGGAATTTATTATCACTAGACTCACCCAGGTGTGTTGAATGTTTTGAATTATTTTTAAGTACAAATAATTAAGGGCTGTTCTAGACCCTCAACAAAAGCTAGAAAACCCATACCTCAGATATGAATTATCTCTTCCATTGTGACAGACTTTACAAAGACTTAACCTTGCTTCATCTTGAGCATTTGTTAGGTTCAAAAAATGTGTAACTGTGAATTACCAGCATGAAATTAATAGAAGAAAACCTGCCTTCAGAGCTGATGGCACAGTATGATTTGTCATACACTGATAAGATTGTGTAAATTTACGTTGACACTGCTGGGACATTCTCTATGTGGTTTCCTAAATTTGTGTAATTTTCTTGAAAACTAGTATGTTGTTTACCAGCTTTTTTGTTGTGAATACGTTTGGAAAGTTATTGAAAAATTTAATATTGTTGTTTCAGAATTTATTGTTATCACTATTAATTTCATATTGTGTTTTATTATTGGATATTTCTTTAATTCTGTTGTTTACATATTATCTAACATAAATGTTAAGCTGAATGTAACATATTTTGTCAATGTTTCAAGATTATAATTACATATAATTGAATTCTATCACATTTTTAATCTAAACCGTCACATTTTTGTGATTATTTAAAATTTGGAATAAAAAGTTGTGAAATTAGTTTTTTTGATTGAAAACAGTCATAAATATAAATACGGCAAATATCAAAATCTGTCTAGTTATTTGTTAGAGGTGAGGTATCAATTCATCTTGTAAAACAATTGATGAAACAATTTGATATGTAGCAATAAATGTTTAGATTTGGATATGTTTTGGATATATAACTAGGAGAAATAACACATTAACCACAACATTTTGTGATATGTTCAATACATGAGACAATCACATACTTTCTTCATTTAGGAAGAGAAGAGGGGTGAACAGAGGAGGGAGGGCTGAAAGCCAATCATTTCATGAAAGGTATAATGAAAATATCACAGTAGTAATGAATTCATTTGTTGTTTTTTTACAGATTGTCACTGATGGAGAGGGTAAAACAATGGACAATTTACACCTGACATTGAACAACTTGTGTAGGATGAGTGAAAAAGTTATAAAAACATTGTTAAATTCTGTACCATACATACATGATAGATTGGGCAAATTAAACCAAAAACCTAAATCCATTTCTAAGTAAAACATGAAATGTTCACCAATTTATGAAGTGCAATATTCCCGCTAAGGAATGATACTATTAAAGTAAATTTTTATTACTATATTTATACCTTTTGTATTCTTTCCAGCAATCCATATGAGAAAAACTTACAGTTATACTTTTCAGATGGCATCATGTAAGGTATGATTGGAAAAACCAACAATGCAAAAAACAATTGTCTGTTTTTACTTTTGTATTAGAAAGTCTTTTCTTCTTGGATTAATAGGCATTTAATTTTTAGTTACATTCATATCTATAGTACTGGTATTTGGCTTATTGTGCTCACAGTAAAATAAGCTGGCACACTCAAACAATATCATTTGATACTTCCAAATGTTTTCTGGTAAATACTAACTATTCTAAGCTGTTGGAAATGTGTGTGATTTTTTTTTTATATTATTTATTTGAACTAAATCTCACAAAAGCAATTTTATGTCTGAATAATCCATTTTTTTTACGTGATTTTGTTACCTCTTGAAACATTAAGTAGTTAACAGTAGTGGCATTTAATGATTTTCGCAAAAGATTTCTGACTTTTCATTCATGTACTGTGTACTTTTAGCTTTCATTTGTAAGAAAACATATGGTGTTAGTAAAGTTAGGATAAGTGTTGTAATGGTTTCAGCATGTATTGAGTTGTTTGGTATGAGTGTGACAAATTTCTTTTTAACAGACTAGTTTAAATCTCAGTAAATGTTTTGCAAACTAGGTTGCATCATAGTGTATCTGGCGGTGACAGGCTAGTTTTGTATTTGCAGAAATGCGTAATATATCATCATCCGACACTGAAAAACAGGTTTTGATGCTGTCTTTTTTTTTATTACCTTCCATTTTATCTGACTTTCAATACTTGTTATTAATGGTATACATTTGTAAAACATACATTTGTACTAAAGGCATATCTGTCATTCTTGAAAGTAAATGACTGCAAGATACAAGCTTTTGCTAATAAACTTTATAGTAAAATAACATTTGTGTATTTATTGATGTGTGTCTGAAAGTTATGAAAAATATGTTATTACTGCAATAATGTTGCCAATGCCTAACCATAAACCAGATGCAATGAACCAGAAAATCAACTAAATGATTTGTCTTTCCTTTTTCTGTCAATGTACCTGTACTGTCAAGGTAAAGCTTTATACAAAAATTTATAGTGAAATTGAATGCTCTTCAGGCAGAAATGCAAAGAGCGCCCTCTTGAGATCTATGTAGAAAAAACAAAGTAAAAAGTCACAGAGGGCGCAACATCTGAAAGGTACAGTTTTTTAATTTGAAAATAAAACACTAATGGGTTTGGCCTGTGTTAAAGCTGACAATGTTAAATGTGCAACAAAATTAAAACTGGACAAAAAACCATGGAAAGCAACTGGGGTTTATGGTGCAATTGCCAATTGTACCCGTTGTCCCTATATTGTTATATACCCTATTGAATGGTGAACACATGCATTTATAAATAAACTGTAGTTTGCGAGGTTATTTGACCACGAGCATCAAGACGTAGAAACTAAGTAATCTGTCAATGGCCTAGATATTGTAATTGGAGTTGAAGTTGCAAGGAAGAGGAGGTCCAAGGAAGTTGGAGATTATTTCACACAATAAATATGGAGCAAATATAATTGTAAGATGTCTATTAGGAAGACAAAAAAGACAAATTGTACACATCACAAAAGATGGCTATACAAATCATTTGGAAGTACTCTGAAGGTTCACAGAAAATCGTTATTATTATTGATTCATCAGAAATACATGACAGAAACTGGAAAACTAAACTCAACTACATATCAACAAATTTGTTTATCTATATATAGATTGTTTATGATAAAAACAGTACATGAATAAATATTAGATAATGACACAAAGCTATTTAAAATAAATAATGTAGTTCTCGATCTCTAATTTTGGGAATGCATGAGTATTGAATGGTTGCATTTCGAAAAAAATATCAATTTGAACAAATAAATGTCACCAGTTTTTTTTTTTTTCAAATAAATTGTAATACTAAGTTATTATGAGCACAGATTAATGTGCACTTTAAAGGATACATTATGAATATATGCTCACTTACAATTCTGCCCAAACTTCTAGTAGTTTTATTGCGTTGATACTGTTTTGTCATTGGTTTCCGACGGCGCACGCGTGCCGATAGCGCGCCGAGCATAACCTTATCACTGTTAGGTCAAAGTTCATTGACCTGTGCGGAACTTCACTTTTCAGAGCACGAGTTGTCAGACTGGCAAGCATGGCTGACAAAGAGGGGCGTGTGAGTAACGGTGGAGCGGCTGCTCCAGCACGAAAGAAGAGACAGGGTAAACGCAAAAAAAGAGGGAAGACGGATCCTGGTACGTATTTTGTTTTAAATAATATGTACATGATTTCAAGAGTTTTAATAGCGAGAAGGAGAATGTTATGTCAAAAACGATGTCCCCGGCCTTGGCGTTTCGGAATTCATTGACATTGCTGTAAAATCGGGGCTATGATGAGTATTAAATCTTGTATGAAGATGACCCGTTTATTTGATTTTCCAGGCTTTTCACATGGTCGTATACGCGATTTGATGGAGCAACCAGACTTTGTTTCTGGAGCAGGTAAAACGTGTGTCGTTTTGCATGGATGGCATGCACACATAACCCGGTCATCTTCTCGGCACCAGGTGCACAACTAAACTTGAAAAACGTCATAAATATTGTAAAAAATTGTCACAAAACTTTATTATCATGGCTGTCGTACGTTAATAATTGAACTGCATCAACCATGTTGTACATTTCCCGTATTTTCTAACGTGTCACACCGGCTGTGATGTTGTGGAGATGTCATTACAGCTGCTATAGTCGTTTGTTTTGTCATCCATTGAATATATGTATATGTTTGCTATGATATATATATATGATGGGTGAGAGAGACGACTCCAAATAACAGAATTTCTAAAAATCTGACATAAATCACTATATACACAAAATACATCAAAATAAAACTTAATTTAGATACTATACTGATACCATACATTTAAAAATGGACTTAACTTTTGACCTTGGTGTTGTAAAGAAACCCCCAACCAACACAAACTAATGTCACATTTTTTTGTTATTATTGGTTTGGTACAAAGCTGCTGTGCATGTTGTGTAGATTTATACTTAATGACAAATGTATTGTCCCACCTATGCAGGGAAATCCTCAATCCTCATGGCTGTCTTAAATTGGCCAATGAACATTCAACAGTTGTCATGGTGTTAATATGTTATGCTGACATGGTGCACAAGATCAAAGTATTACAACACTTCCAAAATGAAAATTAATTGAATGCAGGATGGAACACTCCATAGTTTGTGCCAATTGTGATACATGTCCACAGGGTCGCACTCTTGATTATATGATTAACCACCATGTGACCATTGTTTTTACCGGTATACACATATTCGTTCCATACCATTGTCCAAGTTTATAGGGCTTGTGCACTGTCGTAGTTGCAGCTTATTTGTAGAAAACAATTGTTATGAAATAAATAAAATCTGCCCAAATAACTTAATTACTTAGAATCATGTAGTATGAATGCATTATTAGATGTTAGCATTTATGTAGTGTTATATTAATACACTGAACATACCAATACACATGTAATTTAATACACTGCTTCTTTGGTATGTGAGATAGCATTTATTTCAAGCTGTCTGTAGTTTATCACATTAAGTAAGAACTAAAAACTTGTATCAAGTAACTAGAATTTATTAAAGATTGGTAACTATAATTTACTAAATATAAGTAATTGGAAATAAATCCATCCAATTTCATTTTTAAGCTTTTAAATTAGAAAACAAGCAATTGGTTAGATAATCTAAATTCCTATTACTGAAATACAAGGACCTACATCTACTGTTTAATATTTGTGTATTCATATACAGTTTATTTTTATTCTAGTTGGGGGCCAGAGTAAGGAGATTTCTACATCATTGGACAATGATCTCCATAAAGAAAGCCTGTATAGTAAAGCACATGGTGAAGGTGATGCAGCAAACTTAGTGTCCCCAAAGGTAAATGCACTTTATAGTAACTTGCATAGCATTGTCGCCATGGATATTGTATTATGCTTCTATTACAGGTATTATTTCTATTTGGTTTGTTTCATAATGCAAATCATAAAAACACATTTCTGAATGAGTGAGTGAGTGAGTGAATAAGTACATGGTTTCATGATGGCATGAAATTTTTTTTTAAATATAATATATTTCTAAATTTCAAATGACGATTGAGAACAAGTTGATCAATTACAACACCTTAACAAATAAATACCACCCAATATATACAATATCTTTCGCGTACATGGCAGTAAATCGACCAAAGATTGAAAGATATTTGCAAAGGCTCATGGGTAGTGGAAGTTAACCAAATGGCTTCTTTAGAAATTAATGAAGTGTGAGCATCTTCAAGGGAAAATGTTCCCATAAATAATTTATAAACTTCTATAGAAGTATTGATGCCTTCATGAAACCGAGTGCAATAAATAAATTTATTTATTTATTGTTACAGCTCTAGTAATAAAATATAGAATAAAATATCATTCAAAGACAAGACTTTCCTTGTATTGATAATACTAATAGCCGGATAGACTCCCTTGACTTACTCACTTTATTTAAAATATCATGCCTCAATATCATGTAGACCATAACATCTCATTGTTATTCCAACCAATTTATAGCGATTTTGAGAATTATATGGACAGTCAGTTAACAAGGTAACTTTCAACTTTGCATATTAAACTTGTATTTTTTTTGTTCAATCAAGCTTGACGGTGCATTTCAATTATTGCGTGCATAGTTCAGATCATTCATTATCGTACTAAACAATGGTAAATCAGTTTTTTCTAAATGACTATCGTTCGCTAGAATACATGAACAGGTTATTTTGATTTGTTTTAACAGTCCTGAGTCACATACAATTGTAGATACTCAAGAAATTAAGGATAGTTATTGAATACAT